TTTTTTTAAGCAACATCGTTATTTTTTCAAAGTTGGTAATTTTTTTTTTTTTTAATTTAAAAAAAAAACTTCAATCAATTTGACAACTATTCCCGCTCATCCCGGGCAAGGCCGATTTTTTTTTAATTTTTTGTAATTAATTGAAAAAAAAAAAAAACATTTTTTTTTATTTTAGAAAATTTGATAATTTTTTTATTTAATTAAATAAAAAAAATATAAAAAAATCGTAGCGGCATGATAGCCGAGCGGACTAAGTCATTATCCCGTTAGTTCGTTCGTGTATCTTGTCGTGAGGCGAGGGTTCGATCCCCGACGGTTATTCGAATAGTTCCAACACTAACCGTCGGAAATCGCTCCGGTAGCCGACTGTACTGGCATGGGTTTTCTCTGTGGTTTCCCCATCGCCACTATTCCAACAACCGATAGAAAGAGGTAAGGAATAGGGTAAATACAGTACAGAAAGCACAAGTCGGTCCACAGCCGCATTGGAATGGAATCATATGTGCGAAAAATGATATCTTGATTATAAAAAGCGGAGAACATGTTGATAATAAAAAGTGGAGAACATGTTGATTATAAAAAAAAAGAGTGGAGAATATGTTGATAATAAAAAGGGTTGAAAAATTGTGGAGATAATATAGAATGGAAAGTAACCTTGTAAAAACCAGTAAACGGTATACAAGTAAAACTCAAAATAATAAATAATAAATATAAAAAAATCGGCCTTGCCCGGGATGAGCGGAAATAGTTGTCAAATTGATTGAAGTTTTTTTTTTAAACAATTAAAAAAAAAAAAATTACCAACTTTGAAAAAATAACGATTTTGCTAAAAAAACCCGATTATTTTTATAGAATTGATCATATTTAATTTTTTTTTGTGTATTTTCTCGAAAAGCTAATTTAAAAACCAAAATTAAAAAAAAAAAAAGTTACCCATAGGTCAATATCTTTAAAAGTTATGGCTATTTGAAAATAATAAAGCCACTTTTTTGACAAATTCACAACTTATTTTGGGTTGGATAAAAAAATTTGAAAAAAATTCTCAAAAATGTCTTTCAAATAAAAGGGTAGAAAAGAATAAAAAAGTTTCAGCTAAATCTAAAGGGGTCGGGTTCAAAAGTAGTCGATTTGGCATGGAATATTCCATATACTTTATAAGATCCTGCAATAAATTTTCATAAAAGTTTATTAATTCGTTAATTATGATTTTTTATAACTATTGTAAAATTAAATATCTAAAAAATGTTAAAATTTGTTTTTTTCAATTCCGCTTTAGAAAAAAAATATAACGTTGGTCAATATTTGTTTATAACTAATTGTTAAACTAATAAACAATTGAATATTTAATAAAAAAAAATTTATTTTTTTAGCAAACTGTTTAAGAGTGTAAATTATAATTTCTAAAAGCAAAATTATTTCTTAACTAATTATTCAAACTATCGAAATATAAAAAAATCATTTTTAAACAATTAAAAATTAAAATTAAGAAAAAAATTTTTTTTCTCAAAATCATAACTTTCTGTGGACAATAAAATATCAAAAAAAAATTTCAAAATTATTGAATTTCTCTATTTATTTAAATTAATTTTATAAAGAAATCACGTAAAAAATTCATCTTATCTTAATTACTGCCATTGTATAATGTGAAAACAGGCATAGCTAAATATTAATTGAAAAAAAATTTTTAACAACATTTTTTCAATATTTAATTTTACAATAGTTATAAAAAATCATAACTAACGAATTAATAAAATTTAATGAAAATATATCGCAGGATCTTATGAAATATATATACCAAAAGGGCTCCACGAAGTTTAAAATTTATAGGCCAATTATTTATACCTTTCATCCCATTATTTATGCCAACCAAGATTAGGAAAAAATTTGTTAGTTAACAATTGAATAACTTTTTGAAAAATGGTGATTTAACTTTTTTTTCTACAAGGATCGATTCTTTCAAGTGTTAAGAAAATACTATAATTTCTTAAAATTTTTAAAATCACATTTTATGTTATAAAAAAATTATTTACTTTGGGGAACTCTCTTGAGCGGCGGCGCGCGCATGCCGTAACTGCCGCGTGGAGCCCTATTTTCAACGTCAAATCAAAATTATAAATAATTGAAATTGAGTTTCGGGAGTAAAGACTTTTTTTCGGAAATTTCCTCCTCTTTAAGGAACTGTTTTCAAAACTGCTTTAATATTAATATTTTTCGAGTTATTAACGAATAACTAAATTCCATTTTTTTTTCATCATATTTTGTTAATAACAATTGCAATGTTTCGCCTGCACCAAAATCCTTCAAAAAATTTTTTCTAGAGGCGATTCCGCATCGAATGAGCATCGTTTATATTTGTATGACCTTTGACTCTATTTTTCACGTTTTTTAATTTGTTGCCTACACTAAAAATTATGAATGGTTTTGTCCTTATCACGATATCAGATCTGTCTACATCGACCTTATATCAACATTTTGATTTAATTTGATCAGGTCATTTCTAAACTTTTTCCACACATTTTATTTTTAATTCTTCTATTCATTTTTCAAACGACCGTCTGTTTCTTTGACTCTCATACACAAGTCTGTTTTCTTTTTAACTCTGAAAAATCGATCTTAAAAATTTTGAATTGTTAGGTAAAATTTATTTTTACTGTTCCACTCAACTGCTTTCTAAGAGGCTCGTAAAATGTGTCTCATAAAATTTCCATTGAAAATTTCTTATTAATACTAAAGCTTAAGAATCTACTAGCTTTCTTCAACAAACACTGCATTTTAATTGTATTCATTAATAATTATATAATTTTTTTTTTTTTTCAGATAAAAAATTACGTGCAGATTCTCCAGAACCTATCGATAAGACGAAAAATACATCTCCGAACATGATGAATACAAATTCAAAAACTGGGAATAACGTAGAAGAAAATCACGATGAAATGAATGATAACGATGCAACTATTGAGGTACTAAAAAGCTGGATAATGTTTCAAGTGTCTAGTTTATCAGTTTGGCAAGTCCTCAATATGACAATGGCAATTGTTTTACGGTTTCATTTGTCAGATGAAGCTCATCAAGCTATTTTAGAGCTTATAAAAGTATTAGCTGGACCGGATTTCAAAAATTTCTCCATCTCAAAATATAACATTAACAAGTTATTTAGCCAAGTCGATGATTTTGTGAAATACATCTTTTATTGTACTGTATGTAATACACGATTGGCAAAGCCAATCCCGATGAATACAAATATGAGGAAAAAAGTACAATGCAAAAAGTGTAAAAAACGCTACATAACTTCGAAAAAAGCAGAAAATTTCTTCGTAACAGTAGATATTAAATCTCAATTAAAAAATTTGCTGTCAAAATCTACTGTACAAAATCTAATTAATAACAATAATCGAAATCAAGTGCCTGAAACCATTACGGATGTGTACGATAGTCAAAGGTACATAAATGATGAATATATGAAATCAATAAAAACTGAGGAACATATATCATTAACGCTCAATGTAAATCTCGACGGCGCGCCCTTATTTAAAAGCAGCAAGAAAAGTTTTTGGCCGATACAGTGTATTGTGAATGAAATTCCTCAAAGTATCCGTCATACATTTATGCTGCTCGCAGGTCTATGGTACACTTCCGTAGAACCTAAAGCAGACTTTATGAATTTATATTTGAAATCTTTTGTAACTCAAATCAAAAATTTAATGAAGAATGGCATAAAAATAGTGACAGAAGCTGGTAATACAATTACTTATTATTGTACAATATTTACATTTCCGGTAGATTCGGTGGCTCGACCTATATTACAGAATAGGTTACAATTCAATGGCTTTTTTGGATGCAGCTGGTGTTATCATCATGGTATGTATAACTCAAGAAGCATGAAGTATCCTCTAACGTCTGAAAATGTACGAGAACGAACTCATGAGAGGTATACACGAGATGTTGAACAGCATAAGAAATTGTTAAAGAAACTCCCTAAGACAAAAAAAAACAAGAAATTTACAAGGAAAGGAATCAAAGGATCTACAATATTATCTTCTTTGCCTAATTTTGATTGTGTTTGGGGATTTCCGCCGGATTATATGCATGGCGTACTTCTAGGCGTAACGCGACAACTCTGGGATGAATGGAGTAAGAACTTTTTATCTAATGAATCTAAAAAATTGATAAATGAACGCTTAACTAATATACAACCACCAAATGAAATACATCGAACCCCACGAGTATTACAACATAAACATTTATGGAAGGCATCTGAGTGGCGTTCATGGTTGTTATTTTATAGTATACCGGTTTTGACAGGAATATTACAACCCGAATTATTGGATTCATATAAGCTGTTCGTTCGAAGCATTCATAAAATGCTATCTAAAAATATAACGGAAGAAGAATTAGTCAACTGTGAAATAGATCTGTTGAAATTTTGTTATGACTGTCAAAATCAGTATGGTTTATCGTTTATGACATTCAACGTTCATTCCTTACTACACTTGCCGGAGAGTGTGAGAAAGAATGGCCCATTGTGGGCATCATCAGCGTACGTTTTCGAAAACAACATCTTTAATTTGAAGCTGAATGTAAGCAGTCCGAACGGAGTATTGAGCCAAATGGCTACTCGAATGTTGAGGTACAACGCCTTTCAGAGTCGATTGTCTACCGAATCTAATGAACCAAGTTGGGAATATTGTAGAAATGTCATCAATAAAAAAAGTTTAAATGCGAAAAATGGTGTGATTCCTCTGGTTTGGTCGCGGTTTGGTAGTTGTTCTCCAAGCTGACGCGACGCACCTACTCGGCGGCCCTCCTGTGGGTTACTTCTACCTCGTCGAGAGCGACTGCGGCCTCCTCTGCCTGCTTCCTGCCTACTCTCGGTTGATCTCTTCATGCCTGAAACAAATTAGGATTAGTTTTTGTTTATTAGTTAGTCAGCCTTAGTTCTACTTATACGTCTACTCCGGCGCGGAATTTTTGGGTCGGGGATATAGTGATTGCCAAGCAGTTTATAGTGATTGCCAAGCACTACGTAATTCAACTACTATAGGACTAATTAACTTATAAACTTTCGCTGGCCCTAGATATTTAACCCCCAACCCTGCAGAATAATTCTGAGACTTATTGCTAAGTTTCCTATTCGGGTAGTATACTAAGTCGCCGACGTGGACGTCAGGAAATTGAATTTCTTGGTCCTTGTCCTTCTGACGTCTTTCAGTATCTTTCTCCATGTTGACCTCAATCTTGTGACGTAGTTCATTGAGACGTTGGATCCTCTTGGCCCAGTCTGGATTTTCTTGACTGAAATCTTCTAACCCTAGTTCTGTCGGCTTGCCTGCTAGACGCGGCTCCTGTCCATGAACAAGATAGTACGGTGATAATCGAAGAGCGGCATGATATGAGCTGTTGTAAGCCAGTTGCAATTCTCCTAAATGCTGGTTCCACTCAGTTTGGTCTTTATCAATGTATGCTCTGATCATCGTCTTCAGAGTGCGATTTAGACGCTCAACTGGGTTCGCTTGAGGGTGCTGGACCGCTATTGGTGAAAAACGGACTCCAGTCTCCTTCAAGTAATCTTGTATTTGTCCATTTACAAACTCCTTGCCATTATCTGTCACCAGAAAGAGTGGATAGCCTCGGAGTGAAAATGTTTTCCTAAAAGCTTCCAATACAGTACCTCCAGTGTGTCTTCGCAGTGGATGGAACTCTGAAAATCTAGTGTATAAGTCTTGCATTACCAGGACGTATGCATTACTTCGTTTCGATCTCGGAAAAGGTCCCATGACGTCCGCTGCTACCACTGCCCAGGGTTTGATTGGCTGTCTCGTCTAGAAAGATGTTTTTCGGGATGTTTGATCGTACTTCACTCACTTGCACGTGTCACAAGTCTCCACGAAGTCCTCTACGTCCTTGTGCATACCTGGCCAATAATAGGATAGCTTAAGCCGCTCGTACATCTTGTTTCTGTCTAGATGACCAGCATATGGCTCTTCATGGTTGGAATTCAAGACTTGAAGAATCTCTAATTCTTTTAGCACTAACTTCCAGGCACTTAAGTCTTCGAAAATCGACTTCTGTGGATCAGGTCGATGTAATACAAGCGATCGTCTTCTATTTTCCACTCAGGAAAATCTCCTGGGTTTCTACGAACATTATTTTTCTTCAAATCATACCAGTCCAGAGCTTGTATGGGAACAATCTTCATGTCTTTCAGCTGATCTTTGACCTCCAGCCAGTCTTCTGAGAGTCTGTCTTCATACAATCGTGATAATGCATTCGGTCCTTTATTTACAGTACCTTTCTGATATTTCACAGAAACCTGGTTGGTGAATAATTCTACAGCCCATTGTGAAAGTCTGCCATTGGGGTCGCGAAGTGAATGTAACTACTGTAAGGACGCATGGTCAGTAGACTGATTCAGAATAAAAAAACTTTTTTTTTTTTTTTAGTAAATACATCTAAAAAGTTTCCTTTTTTGACCAAAAAAAACCTCCTAAAAGATGAGCTTGATACCTTGAAAATTGAGCTGGCGCATGGGGGGTCCCCTTTCCCATTTAAAATACATTGAAAAAAAACTTTTTTCTGTATTTTCATTGTAAATCGTCGAAAAAAATTTATTTTCGAATTTCTCTTTCTGATATCTTGTAGGAAATTAAATTCTCTACAAAAAAAGGTCTCTTTCATTTTTTCGCTAAAATGCATAGGAAAAAAGTTACAGAGCTTTAAAAAACGAAAATTATAAAAAGTCAAAAATAACTTTTTTTTTTATTTTCGACAACAAATTATTTTATTTTGTAAAATTTCTTACTTAATTTATCTATATTCAGTCTGTCAATCATATCTAAAATTGATCTATGTATAGAAAAAAAAAATATATTTATTTATATTATAGTTTTATATTATATATGGGGCATCCTATGCCAAATCGACCACTTTTGAACCCGACCCTTTTCGATTTTTCTGAACTTTTGGTATCTTTCTCTACCCTATTGAAAACAATTTTCAGAATTTTTTCAAATTTTTTTACCCAGCCAAAAAACAGTTACGAGTTATTTAGAAAAGATAGCTTTTTTTTTGTTAAAATAGTACTACCGTAACCACAAGAGTCAAATCCCAAAACCTAACCTTATTTGATTAACGTCGTAGATTTCCCTATACTAAATGACGTTGGAGAAAGAGAAACAGAGATAAATTTTGAATGTTTTTTATTAACAAATATTCTCCTATTCTCTGAAACCATACTGATTGATATTAACTATATTTTAGATGTGATTTTCTCTCATTGTAATAATTTTCATAAGAATCTGAACGTTCAGTTTTATAAAACTAGAATTTAATTTTCGCGCGCAAGCGCGCGCGTCATATTTGTTGTCATGATATATTTATGTGTCGTTTATGTATATTATATTAACTTTCAACCAATCAGAATGAGAATATTTATTTTCAACCAATCACATCACGAATAGATTGGTTTCACATACATTTCATCTCAATTTTATTATGGGATAAAATAAAGTCTGTGATTTTCCATAAGGATCAATGGTAAAGGCAAAAATATTTAAATATTAATATCTTTTTTTCAGTTCTTTGTAGGCCTCCAAAAATTTAACCGGTTAATTAAGATATTATTATGTACCTATAAGCCAAGTTTCATCAAATTCTGAATAGAAATTCTAAAACCGGTAGTACTACCCTTAAATAACCATAACTTTTTTGAAAATTAACTTATTGGGATGATTTTTTGTTTTTAAATGTACTTTTTAAAAAAAAATGAAAATAATAATTCGCATTCATATTCAAAGTTTTTTTTTTGAAAATTTTCGGAAAAAACGAAAATTTCGGGATGATTGACATTTTTTTTTTTTTTTTTTAATAACAAACTAGTATTTTCTGCGAATTTCCTGAAATTTTCAAAGTCGTATTTTTGTTCTATTTTTTTTAGAAATGAAAAAAACATTTAGTTTAAAATTTTTTTTTATTATACCGCTCTGAAATTTTTTTAGCAGATTTTGAAAACTTTAAAATCTGAGAAAAAAAAATAAAAACAAAAATTAAAAGTGACAATCATCGATAGCATTTGATTAATTTCCAATCAAGTTAGATAAAAAATTAAAAAAAATATTGAATTATTTTTTCGTATTTTATTATTTTCGTATCTACAAGTTCTATAAACAATAAAAAATTCTATTGTTTTCAATAGAGTAGAGAAAGATACCAAAATTTCAGAAAAATCGAAAAGGGTCGAGTTCAAAAGTGGTCGATTTGGCATGAAATGCCCCATATGTAATATATTTTTTATAAATATATTTTTTTTCTTCTATACATAGATCAAATTTAGATATAATTGACAGAATGAATATAGATAAATTAAGTGAGGAGTTTTACGAAATAAAATAATTTGCTGTCGAAAATTAAAAAAAAAAAGTTATTTTTGACTTTTTTTAATTTTCGTTTTTTTAAAGCTCTGTAACTTTTTTCCTATGCAATTTAGCGAAAAAATGAAAGAGACCTTTTTTGTAGAGAATTTAATTTCCTGCAAGAAACTAAAAAAAGAAATTTGAAAAAAAATTTTTTTCGACGATTTACAATGAAAATACAGAAAAAAGTTTTTTTTCAATGTATTTTAAATGGGAAAGGGGACCCCCCCCCCCCATGCACCAGCTCAATCTTCAAGATATCAAGCTCATCTTTTACGAGGTATTTTTTGGTCAAAAAAGGAAACTTTTTAGATGTATTTACTCAAAAAAAAAAAAGTTTTTTTATTCTGAATCAGTCTAATGGTCAGTTACGATGGTGAAAGGTGCACCCTCGAGGTAACATTTCAATTTTCTTACGGCCTGCACTGCAGCCAAGCACTCCTTCTCAGTTGTTGTGTATCTAGTCTCTGCTCCTCTGAGTTGTCTACTTAAACAGATGATCAGGTACTCCTTGTCCATGTCTGGATCTTTTTGGTCAAGAAAAGCCCCCAATCCGGTGTCACTAGCGTCGGTGTACAAAAGATATGGCAAGCCTGTTCTAGGTAAAGCTAGAGGTTTAGCGACAATGAGCGCTAGTTTTAATTTCTGGAAGGACTTCTCTTCTTCCTCGCCCCATTTCCATTCAGTTCTCACACCTGTTAATCTATTAAGAGGTCCTTATGCCTTCGAGACGTTCTGTAAATGCCTGTGGTACCAGTTGATTAATCCGAGAAAGCTACGCAATTGTTTCCGGCTAGTAAGCCTGGGAAAATTAACAATTAAAGCTATCCTTTCAGGGTCTGGATGTAGTCCTTGCTCGTTCACGATGAAACCTAGGAATCTGACTTCTTGTCTGCAAAATTTGCACTTATCTGGATTAATTTGCAGCCCAAAAATTCGGAAAACTTCTAGTAGAAGTGACAGGATTCGCAGATGATCTTCGAACGTCTCATGTAATTATGGAGCTTGTTGCTGGTCTCTCTGTGGTGATGGTACACGTGACGAATTTGTTGTTCTGTTGTTCAATTAATGGTGGAGTTGTTCAATTCAACACCGAATAAGTTGTTCAATTAATGTTCTATTTTGTTCATTAATTGTCCTCTGATTTGCTGTCCTCTGATTGACACGTTCTGACTCTCGTGCCATCCTGTCTATCCAATCCATCATGTCGCGTGCTGACTCGTCAACTTGTGATTCGTTAACGCTGTCAGAAAACATCACGTTTTGTCCTGTCAATCTTATCTGTGTTGATGATGCTTGAGTTCCCTGAATAACTTGTGTCTTATCTTGATTATTTCCGTGATTATTTTGATGATCATCGTAGTTATTTAGATGATCCTCGTCGTTTACAGCATCTATTGTCAGCTTATTTTGTTGTCTGATAGACTCTTCTAACTGTTGTCTTTCGAACGCTCCTGATGTTATTGTTTCTGTTCTTCCTGGATCTACCGGGTCGCGTGTCTGCCTGTTATTACGGCCACTATTTGTAGGTGGTAAGTTTGAGTCTTCTATTTCTTCATCTGAAAGACCTTGAGACCTTGTCCGGATTCCGTGTCGTCCGTTCATTGTCTTGAGTCAACTAGTTGTCTCTGTAGATGAAATATATTTTGTTATTTCTCTGTTTTTATTATAACTTAATCCTCTTAAACGACGACGTAATTTTAACACGATAAATTTTGTTTGTACGTTTAAAATTTTACGTTGATTTAATCTCTTTAAGAATTTCTAACATTCAATTTTGTTTATATCATTGTCACTATTACTCACTTCACAAAAATTTTAATCTAAGAGCTTAAATTTATTTCCGGCTTAATATTTCGTCTTATTAAAGATATTAATTTGTCTACACTCCTCACAAAAATTAAGGGAGCAGAAAAAAAATCTAAATTTTTGGGGGGTTTTTAACAGGCTGTAACTTATACAAAAATGGTCGTACAGCAAAAAAAAGCAAATAGTAGCTCTAGGTGTCTAGTTTTTAGATCTGAGTTTGAAAATTTTTTTTTGTGAATTGTTTTGAGTAATCTGAAGAAAACCACCGAAAAAAAAATTTTAGAAATTTTTCCGGTTTTTTTTTAATCTACAGACTTGAAAGAAATTTTTTTACTTAACCTGCATATGGACCGGATAACTTGTTTATTCAGCTTTAATTTGGTTTTTTAAAAATTTCGATACGAGCATTTCTCGCTGAGATATCGGTGTTTGAATGGAAAAAGATCATTTTGTCTTTGATTACCAATATCTCAGCAATCAATGATCGCACAGAAATTTCAAGGTTGGTTTCAAAAACTTGAATAAATTTTCTACAGGGATTAGCTATAGATTTTTGGAAAAAAAAAAATAAAAAAATTTTTCTAAAAATGGTCGATTTTTTTTTGCAAGTTTACCAATTCACTGATATAGAATTAAAAAATAATTTTAAATAGTATATTACACACCGAAGGAAGTAAAGTAAGAAATGTCTCAGATCACATGTAATTGTTGGCCGAGGCGAAAGTTGACGCTTTCTGCCCGTCGAGCAAAAAAAAATTTTTTTTTATTTCGATAAAAATTATGACCTTTTGAGAACGAAATTCTTGCTCCTTTAATTTTTTCAAAAATTCAATCAAGTGGGAAAAAAAACGGTTAGCTGGATTAAATTGAAACTTTGTAGGGTTTTTGTGGGTATATTGAACAGTAAAAGGCACAATTGAGGAGCTGATTTTCAAAAGGGTATCTTTTTATTTTTTAGTTTTTTTCAATACAAGTAAAAAACTGTTTACTTTAAACTATAAATTTTTTTATCAATTTTTTTTATTCTCATGCATATTGCTCATGGTGATAAAGGCGTAATTTAATTTTTATGAAAAAAACTTTATAATTCTCAGTGTTGTTATTAGTTGAATTTAGAAAAAGTGCTCTTTTGATCCGAATTTATAAAAAAGTACCCTTTTGATCCGAAGTGATAAAAAAAAGTACCCTTTTGATATAAAGTGATAAAAAACGTACCTTTTTGATCCACACACACACACAATTTTTCTTAAAATTATTTTTTTCTCATCGTTGTGCCATTAAATGACATTTTAACTGTTCAGAATATCGAAATTACGCGATTTACCAAACTCAATTAAGATAAAAATTAAAAAAAAAATTTTTGAGAAAAATTTTTTTTTTTAACAAATTTCAAAAATTCATATTTTTGAAAAAACAAAAAACACAGTTCCAAAAATTTCAGGATCTCTTAAGATTGGTACAAGGTAGTATACAAAAAAATTTGAGCGAAAAATTTATTATCGACCGTCATTTTTGACGATTTTCAAATTGTTGAAAAAACAATAAACACAGTTCCAAAAATTTTAGGATCTCTTAAGATTGGTACAAGGTAGTATACAAAAAAATTTGAGCGAAAAATTTATTATCGACCGTCATTTTTGACGATTTTCGAAAATTCAAAATTTGACAAATTTGGCATTTTTCAAAATTTTTTCCCAAAATATTTTTTTTTCAATAGCTCCAAGTGTCCCCTTTCAAACAAACGAAAGATCATTCCTGTATCTATACTAGCGTTCGAAACATTACAAATACAAAATTGAAAAACTGGAAAAAACGTTAAATTTTGAGTTTGCATATCTTTTGAAAAAAATTTTTTTACTTTTTTTCTTTGGCAGAACTTCGGTATATGATAAAAGAAAACTTCTGATCAAAATTCATTCAAATCGAAAGGGGTCGATTCCAACTATTGATCGATTTGACATGGAATGACCGAATAATAATAATAATAAATTTTGAATTATTTATTAAATTTTACAAAAAGATCTCCTTTTGATCCAAAACGTGAATTTTATTATTTTTTTTATACTGAAAAAATTTTAATTCATAAAATTTGATGAAACATATCAATAGAGTTCAGGATTTTGCACCCTATTATTAAAAAAAAAAAAAAATTCGAATATTTATCAAAAGATACCCTTTTGAAACTCAGCTCCTTAATTAACAGTAGTGGTTTCGGTAATATTTTTGATTGGGCGCTTAATTTTCCAAAAAAATCACAAAAAGCCCTTTTTTGGTTGCTTTTTCAAATTCATGTGATGATTAAAAAGAAATTTTCTTTCCAAAAATCTATAGCTAATCCTTGTAGAAAATTTATTCAAGTTTTTGAAACCAACCTTGAAATTTCGGTGCGATCATTGGTTGCTGAGATATTGGTAATCAAAGACATAATGATCTTTTTCCATTCATACACTGATATCTCAGCGAGGAATGCTCGTATCGAAATTTGTAAAAAACCAAATTAAAGCTAAATAATCAAGTTATCCGGTCCATATGCGAGTTAAGTAAAAAAATTTTTTTTCAAGTCCGTAGATTAAAAAAAAAACCGAACAAATTTCCAAAATTTTTTTTTCGGTGGTTTTCTTCAGATTACTCGAAAATAATTTTCAAACTCAGATCTAAAAACTAGACAGAGCTACAATTTGCTTTTTAACTTCCCGCTAAGAAAATCGAAGATTTTCAAAAATTGGGAAGTTATTGTTTTCACCCCGTTTTGCAAAAATCGAGTTTTCATTAGATCTCGACGTTTGAAGGTCACAGGAAGCTTCCCTGACTATCCCCGCGCGGTTCTCACTTTGTCTGTATGTATGTGTGTGTTTTTTTTTTTTTAATTAAGGGGGAAGAACTCTTTTTACGGATTCTAGGCATAGCTGTTTGGCCTTGATATGTGGCGACTCGACGCAGCGTCATACTAAAACTTGACGCTAACGCCCCTACCCACTAAACCCTAAACCCCTTTCCTCTTTCCTCTAATCCCTTATGGAAACCGCCGTTAGGCATTACTTCGTGGGGGGAGGATATAGTGACTGCTCTTCCTTCTGGTAGCTAAGGTGTTATTTTACCTTTTTTCTAGTTGTTGTGATTTGCTCTTTTTCTTTCGATGGAATGTAAGTCTATAAGGACTTCTGTTGCAAACGTGTTTGCGGCGTTCCAGGCAGCCTCTGATGACAGCATTTCTTCTACTATTGTCTCTGGTTGGATTTTCTTCTTCAGGATTATCTCCAGCTCGTCTCGCTGTGGGTAAAATCGTGGGCACTCAAAGAAAACGTGCTCCGCGTCTTCATTGATTCCTGGGCAGGACGAGCACTCCGGTGAATCATCATGCTTGAAGCAGTGAAGATACGTCCGAAAACATCCATGTCCTGACAACATCTGCGTCAGATAGTAATTGACCTCGCCATGACTCCGGTTTAGCCAAACGTCGATCTTCGGTATGAGACGGTGTGTCCATCTTCCTGTTGTCGCGGCGTCCCATTACGATTGCCATCGTGCGATGCTGTTCTGCCGTTCTTCAGCTCTGAGTTCCTCGGCACTTAGTGTGGTTGACCTCTTTCGTTGGTAAAGGTTCCGTCTTTCCTCTGCTAGAACTCTGAGCGGCAAAGTTCCGGAAATGACACACACTGCTACTTCTGATATCGTGCGGAATGCACTGGCTAATCTTACAGCGCTCAGTCGATATACTGGTCCAGCTTTTCTCCATGATTCTTGCAACTCCAGCGCGTCTGTCCAAATGGATATTCCATAGGTGAGCACCGATGTGACAACTGATGATAGTAGTAGTCTCCTGCTCTGCTTTGGGCCTCCGACGTTCGGCATCAGTCGTGCGAGACTAGCCCTCATTACTGACGCTTTGGCACTGACGTGTTCCACTTGCTGTTTAAAGTTGAGTCGGGCATCAAGCGTCACTCCCAAATATCGGATATTAGGTTGTGATGTGATTTCTTGTTCGCCGACGTTCAGCTCCATAGTCTCTAACACTTTTCTGCTGGATATGAGCACTGCCTCAGTTTCGTGTGTAGCCAGATGCAGGTTTACCGTATTTATCCACCGATGGACTCGCTCGACGGTGATGTCGAACATGTTGTTAATCTCGTCAAGGTGTTTAGCGACGATTACTACGGCTACGTCGTCTGCATACGCTACGAGTTTTACACTTCTTGGCAATTTCAATCTCAATAACCTAGACTAAACTGTTCTGATTTTTGGAAAATTTTATATATATATATATTTAATTATTTTCATAATTTGTCTAATAATTGATCAGTGAAAATGTTTTAACATAGTGCCTAAAAATTATTACTCTTTAAGTAAATAGTTTATTTTGTGAGTGGCATGTGGCTAGGTGCACCTGCTCTGACTTTAACCTATAGAATTACCTTTACTAGAAAATCGTGGTCGTTATTTTTACTCTCCTTTTGTCTTCACGTGTATCTAAAATGCCTCCACCTAATCAAACGGGAAAATGCAGAGGTTGTGGTAGCAGCGTCGCCGGGGATATGTAGTTTCCTGTACTGGTTGTCAATCAATCTTTCACTCTAGCTGTGCAAAACAAGCTGGGCCTATTACTGGTGGCTCATTTCAACGATGCTGCAGACGACGTGGCTCTGTCTCAATTGATGACATACGAGATCTACTATCACGTGAATTAGATAAATTACGCAGTGATTTTAAATCTGAATTTACTGCTGTAACTAACAGTGTTACTGAGCTAAAAATAAAGTGGCTGAAAGTACTAAAATCTTCCATAAGAAAATCGATAACATTGAAAAACATAATACTGATATTAAGAAACGACTTAATGTTTTAGAATCTAGGATTCAAAATTATGATAAAAATAACAATGTGAATGTCGATAATTTAAGCTCTGGTATCATACACGAATTTGAAGACAGAATTTCGAAGAAAAATAATGCTACTTTTTTTGGTGTTGAAGAGGTTGTTTTCGCGAATGCTGCTGAATGCCACAATGTAGATCGTACAACTGTGCAAAACATTTGTGATGCGATTGCAGAGAACATTACCTTCTCGGGATACACACGCATTGGTAAATACTCCACGGTCTCTCTTCAACCTCGCCCTATAGAAGTATTTTTTACAACTAATTCATGTCTCGATCAGATCATCTCAGGACTACTACGTCAGAAAAGGTTAGAGAATCCTTTACATCAAATTTGCACCATATCGATAGTCCAGGATCGGACTAAGATGCAACGTATGGAGCAGAGAAAAATACATCAGGAGCTCAAGGACAGGATAGCTGCAGGAGAGAAGGGTCTACGTATCATTCAACGACCTGGTATTCCGACCATCATTGTTACTCATCGTCATACATCAGCATCGACCCCAAAACATACTTTATAGTCAATATGAATTATCATCAAATTTATCAGATCCCAGAAAATTATAACTATAAAGGTTCAGGTTTATACAGATCTATCATTTAATTGTTGTGTTAATTTATTTTTTCAATTCAGCAACGTTTCGTTACGTATCGTGACTTCCTTAGGCATCTAATAACAAACATACATAATATAAATCATACTAAAATCCTTTCCAACAGAATTTCACAACCATAACAATCAATAAAACATAATAAAATTATAATAAAAAATACCTTGAAATCAACTAATTATTTAACACAACTGTCAAACTAAAATATTTAGCATTACTTTCAACTAGGTTAGCCATTCGGCTTGTCGTACAAATTTTAAAACAATTATTTAACATGACATATATACTTCAATATAATGATTATTTGTTTAACCGCTAGAAAAGAGATCTAGTCAAATACTTATAAGAGAAATTACGCCTTCGGGCTTAATCGTTAAAACTCGGGAATAATCGTATGAACTCGGGAATAATCGTATCACGCTATGGCCGTCGCGCATGCGCGCCTTGGTTAACGGTAGAGAAGCCGGCTCGCGTGGTCTGCTGCAACAGTTGTGCTTGGACTTTGTACTAGTACGACTACTCTGTGCTAATCAATTCTGACAATTCTTACTTGCATCTCACATTCATTCAAATATTTAAATTATTCATTAAATATAAATAATTATAGTAGATTCAATTATACTTTAAATTCTCAATTCATTTAAATCAGTTTAATAGTTCAGTGAATTAACATAAATAAGTAAAATCAAGTAAATTTGTTTAGTAACGCCACGCGGCCATTACGCGCCACCGTTAACAAAGGATTGCATCAGCCACGCGGCTTTAGTCAATCCATAATTGACGCGTGATATTAACAATTAATTACATTAAATCAATTATTCACATTTAATTACGATCTTATTTAATTTAACTTATAAATAATTAAATTCCAATTTCAAATCATTTGACTAATTTCTACACGATAAACATCAAACTCAATTGACTAACATTCTGTTATCAATTGAATATTATTAGCTCTCACCTAGAGACAATTGAATATTATTAGCTCTCACCTAGAGACAATTGAACATTAATAGCTCTCACTCTGAGACAGTTCAAATTAATTAGATATTACCAGCTCCCACTTTGGGACTTATCTAATTCAAATTATCGATAATTTTCTATCTAAGGCGGCTGAGCTCACCCCTATTGCGTTATTGCAACGTAATTTTACACATTCACACTTACACACACACACAATTTACTTGTATAATTTCATCAACGAGGTTTTTGTCCCAGCCTAGCTGGGTTTTCCTCCTTTGGGGACAAATAAATTCTTCTAAATTGTTCCCCAAAAAATCCAAGTATTATTATTTAATTTCCTAATCCCAACTTCATCATATTTTTAAAAACAATTACGGGAATTATCCGCATTGGATAGTTTTCGACAAAACATTATTTGTAAGAACAATAATTATTAATCACTTATTTTATATGACTCAATTTCTTATTATAGTTAACAATATACAAATTATTAATAATTTTAATCAAAATCAACATGTGAGTCGTATGTCAGTCACCCATGCGTCTATATACAGTATATTACTACGAGCTAATTTACCATAGTCTGAATTACTTAATACGATGGTACCAACTTAGTTTCTATGTTGGCTGCAGTGTGATTTGAACTTACATATCAAATTAAAATAGATGTTACTCAAATTTTCTACATCAGTTCTAAAATTAACTGTTTTATTTATTAATATGTAAATCATCTCACTTAGGCAACGTTTAAATTTTACCCTCTCTCTGTCCAGTATTTTAGTCCTATCAAAGTCAAACTTATGTCCAGTATCCACATAATGTACACACAAAGCCGTTTTTTCTTTCAACTTGCCAGCATTATTACAACTATAACGATGTTGATATATCCTGTTCCCCAAATACTGACTGGTCTGGCCTATGTATGACTGTCCGCAGTCACACGGAATTTTATACACCACGTTGGACACCTTCATTTCTTCATCCTTATCTTTTAATTTTGAAAACACTTGACTCACTGTCTTTATATTGTTGAACGCAGGTTTTCACTCCGTACCCAGAAAACACCGAGTAATTGAATCTGAAAGACCCTTGATATACGGGAATCTAAACCTATTCTCTTCACGGTGATTACAGTTACTTCTATGAGCACCTCCCATCTCGCCATTATCCTTCATGTCGATGTCATTAGAATGCATACTCTTGAATTTATTAATGCAGACCAGTCAGTATTTGGGGAACAGGATATATCAACATCTTTATAGTTGTAATAATGCTGGCAAGTTGAAAGAAAAAACGGCTTTGTGTGTACATTATGTGGATACTGGACATAAGTTTGACTTTGATAGGACTAAAATACTGGACAGAGAGAGGGTAAAATTCAAACGTTGCCTTAGTGAGATGATTTACATATCAATAAATAACACAGTTAATTTTAGAACTGATGTAGAAAATTTGAGTAACATCTATTTTAATTTGATATGTAAGTTCAAATCACACTGCAGCCAACATAGAAACTAAGTTGGTACCATCGTATTAAGTAATTCAGACTATAGTAAATTAGCTCGTTGTAATATACTGTATATAGACGCATGGGTGACTGACATACGACTTACATGTTGATTTTGATTGAAATTATTAATAATTTGTATATTGTGTAACGGGGTGTTTTTATTTCGCCGTTCAATAGCAGCCTTAATTTATCAATTAGATGTTAACTACAAATACCATGAGATTATTATATAAGGATGTTAAATTTAGGGCGCCACCAGGTTGTTACAACGGTGTCCTGGAAACCGCAAGAGACATGAGAGATAATCTACAGGGTAGAGAGATTAGGAAATTATCTGGAAATGAATAAAATTAATAATTCGTGGTTACCAATTATTTATTCAACAAAATCACACTCACACGCACACTATAAATTCTATTGCCAATTTTCCATAACAAAATTTCTTAACTAATATCCGCGAAACAGAGGGGAAACCGTACCATAATTCACGGGTACGAGAATCACGTGACCTCCACTTTTCCTTTACCAATATTTCATATTACCGAATGACCGATTTTATTGTAAACTTCTGATACAGAGGGACGCCGTACCATTTACCAGAAGCTACTCGTCTATTGTCTCACTCTCTATCACTTATAACCCAACCAAAACTTATTAGATTACTTATAAATTATCTAACCGAACTAACAAAACTACCCGGTGACTATTTTCAACACAATAGAATATATGACGCCAGTAAACGTGACCTTGTAATTTTTTGACGCGCAGTTAAAACGTACTGCGTAGTAACAAAACTATTTCACCACTTCTTATAAAATTTTCCCGATTAACGTTCAATAAATTAAAATTAATTAACCGAATATTATTATTAATAATTTTACTTAACCGGAAATTATCAATAATTAATTAAATTAATTTATAAACTGACTATAAAATGGCGCGTAATTATCTTATCACCAATTCCGTCTCAAGGTTAATTAATATTTCCCGGGTGTCGGACCACAGGATTTTCTAACGACTTTATTTGACCACTAATTAAATTAATTTAATAAAACCCAATAATTAATTTAATTTATAAATCCCAATTAAAACCATCAAAACCTTGTCCAGAAGAGTAATTAAGACCGAGTGCTAACCACAGTCGAAATTTGCTCACGAGACTTGACAATGTACCTTATAACCGACGAACTGCTTCCCGCCAACTTGCAGGCATGGCTTGGGTCTGCTGTAGCCTCGTCGTTACTTGTACTCTCGGGGATTTGTACTGCTTTCCAACCGCAACAATATTTCCTAGACGTACCAAATAGGATTAGTATAATGTAATTTATCAATTGGAAACAATTAATAAATATTAAACATCGCTTGCGTTCCAATTAAGTGAACGTGCGACTGGATATTTACCTGAGTTTGCTATTTGCGTCCGGAACGTTCGGTAGTACAACCTTTTCTGTCTCGTCCGCCGGCCGCTGCTTCACTCGGGCTCGCTCCGGCCCGTCGCCCCACTCCTTACTACCTAAAATGCCAGAAACCATCGCGCACTGGTGTCGCGTCGATAATTTACCGAACTCGCAAAGGTTCAACTAACTACCAGTGATAACAAAGTACCCTGTTACAATTGTTAACTATAATAAGAAATTGAGTCATATAAAATAAGTGATTAATAATTATTGTTCTTACAAATAATAATTATATTGAAATATATATGTCATGTTAAATAATTGTTTTAAAATTTGTACGACAAGCCGAATGGCTAACCTAGTCGAAAGTAATGCTAAATATTTTGGTTTGACAGTTGTGTTAAATAATTAGTTAATTTGAAGGTATTTTTTATTATAATTTTATTATGTTTTATTGATTGTTTTGGTTGTGAAATTCTGTTGTAAAGGATTTTAGTATGATTTATATTATGTATGTTTGTTATAAGATGCCTGAGGAAGTCAATATGAATATTTCTTCTTTCTTGATATAAGGTAAAGGGCCATATTATGGAACACTCTATGAATAGGAATTGTATATTTTATTCTTTTTAAAAGAAAATAGAGTTGAAACATTAAATTTTTTCAAATTAAATGTTTCTGTGATATCTATTGAAGCGATAAAAATTGTTATGAAGTGAGTTTTAGCTGAAAATATTACTAAATTAATTGAAAAAAAAGATGAGTACTTATGACCGTATTTATGGAACAGTATGAAGCAGCATGTACGGGTGTTTCATAAGGTATGTCCCAAATTATGGAACAGAAAATAAATTGAAACATCAAGATTAGAAATTTTTTTGTCTTTAATTTGTTTATCCATAATATTAAATGTTGTTTAATATTTTTATCTACTATTAATATAGTTATATTCAAAAATGAAACGAATTATCAAACAATAAATAAACATTGTTTTAAAAAATAAGCATGACAAGAACAGTTTCGAATCTTTGGATAAATAATTAAAAAATAATGACAAGATGTATTTCAAATTGAATTTAAAATTTAACTATTTCGTTTCTTCTTTGATTTTTTGTTGTATTGCTTTCATTTTATCTTGTAATTTTTTCTTTTCTTCAGCTAGAAGTTTCTTCTCTTCTTGTAATTTTTTCTTTTTTTGTAACTTTTCTTCTTTTATTTTCCGATCATTTTCTTTTTTTGAGTGATATTGCATCCACTGATCAGATGTACCAGCAGAAGGTAGTTTGGGTTTACCGGATGACTCCAGTTTAATCCTTTTTTTCTTCGGTAAATAATTAGTTGGCATCTTAAATGCGTCGTCAAAAGGATTTCCAGCATCGATTTCAACTGAAAAATACCACAAATATTATTATTTAAGTTAAAGATTCTTGTCAGCAATTTTTAAATATTATTTACTAACTTTTATTAGCAGATGTAGAGTCATTTTCTTTACCAATAACTGATTGACTAAATGTTTGACATTTTTGAAGCTCAGAATATTTGTCAATAGTTGGCGTAGTACAAACAGCAGTAGAAGCAGTTGTAGTAGCAGATGTACTGTCAAGAAAATCTAAAAAAAAATATATTTTCATTCTTAAATCCATATCAAGTATGAAGGATTGTTTTTTAATTTGCTTACAAACCTGTTTGATTATCAGCATCCAGAACATTTGATTTAAATATTAATTCATCATCAATGTTACGTTCCAAAACATCAGATAAATTTAATAAATTTAAATTCTTACTTTGATCAGTACCTGACTGAGCTTGAGAGACAATTTCTATAAGTTTATTATCTACTATAAATTCGTATAATACTTCAGAAGATGCTGATGTGTCTATTTCAGGATTAGTTATCAAAGGAAGAAACTCTTCATTAAAAGAATGACTATGATCGTTAAGATTCATATCAGTGTTATTATTATCATTCGAAGTAGAGGCTTGATCATTAATTAAATTATTTACGGGTTGTTCTTGTCTTACTATGTTTAAATTTAAATTTACCAACGTCACTTCTTTGACAGTTGGGTTACTTTTTTCATGAGAACCTATATACCAAATTATAAAAATTATACCAAAAACTTTATAAAATAAAAATATGAATATGAATATCTATAAAAAAAATTAGGAATACGGTTGACCCTGAAGGCCATCCCTGCAACTTCCCGCCAATTCTATACCTAAACGCTTGAAATTGCACTTATGACGTTTTAGAGCTCTTCGAGCTCATAAGTACAATTTGTGTATTATTTTGAGCTCTCCAAGCTCAAAAAAATAGCTTTTGTATGCTTT